AAACCAGCAAGAACAAAATGTGCAGTTATATTCAAACCAATCAATTAAATGCAAGAAGATATCACACTTGTAAATTACAAGCAAAGGTGAGAGTCAAGGTGAGAAAGCCGAAGTGATCCATTACCTACCTACCTGCCCAGGACTGTGTGAGAATCAAATGAGTTAGTACATGTGAAGTGCTGAGAACAATGCCAGCCAACAGTGCTACTACAGTGGTAGCTGTTACTGCTGTTCGTAAAGATGAGTGGCAGGCAGAACCAAAATTCAAATGCCAGGACAAATTTTCCACCCTTAAACACTATGTATATTGACTAAAAGAGGCCATGCAAATGAGTTAATTAATAGTGATGTAGTGCTGTGTTTCTTGAAGATAATCAAAACAAAATCAAACTATAAATGGATAAAAACTGGGCAGTAACCGTCAATGAGAAGAGTGAGGCTTGCCAGTGGGACTGTACATAGGAGATGGACAACTGTGCAGTGGGCAAAGTGCTGCCCTGGGGTTAGGAGACCCAGGCTCTAATACCAGCTCAACCACCAACTGTGCACCCTTGACTAGCTGCTGAATATACAGGATCTGAACTACCTCATCTGCTAGATAAAGGGGTAGATAACTCTGAAATATTTTCTAGAACTGACATCCTATGATAGTATGACCCAACAGAACATGCGGTAGTTTAAAGATGTGACTTTTGTAAAAAAACAAAGCAAAACAAAAACGGTATTACTGTTTATTTTTTGGAGAGCCACGTGTACTTCAATAGGTACATAACCTAGAATGTATTTATAATTATAATTTTGGGCATAGCCATTGCAGGAGAATGAAATAAATAGCTCAGATAAGCAATTCCACCATATATTTTTTACATGTCATTAAAATATAAAAAGGTTAATATGAGAAACGAAACAAAAATAATTTTGATAACAATGCAGTAATTTTTCAAGTATATTTTTAAAAGGGTGAAGTTATAAAATATTTCTTATATATATGGTTAATAAATATTTTAGTATATCCAGTTTTATAAACAAGTTGAGAAATGATACAATTTACCTTTTTGCCCATGACGACTGCTGAATTTGTCTCCAATCTCTGGACGCCTTGTCTGTCTCAGCAGCATTTTGATCAGAAAAGCATCTTCAGCATTTGAAGATATCATCACTTTTTCAATATATGAATCCGTTGCCCCTTTGTAGCTAATGTTAAGAAAAAGTCACTAAAACAGAGTTTTCAAATTGCCCTTTGTGAACTTATTACCCACATGTCATGTTTTATTTAACGCTTACCATGGAATATTTTAACATTCTCATCTTGGGCTTTGAAAAATGACTTCTATTTTTAACATTAAAGTCAAATTTTACAATTTCCCTTCTATAGTTCTATATATTTATTATGAGGCAGGCATAATGTAACTTAATCCTCACAACAGTCCCATATCATTATTCCCTTATTACATATGAGGAAAATTGATGCTTAGAGAGGTTAAGTAACTTGTCCAAGGCACACAACTCATACAACATGAAACTGGGATTTGAGCTCAAGTCCATCAGACTCAACACCAAGTTCGTAACTACCTCTGTAGTACTACTTTTATACCTATCAGCGTTTCTTTTTCTTCCCTTTGGCAGCTGGCCGGTATGGGGATCCGAACCCTCGACCTTGGTGTTATTAGCACCATGCTCTAACCAAATAAGCAAACCATCCAGCCGCCAGCTTTTCCACTATCAATTTTTTTTCACATATGCTGCCTCTTATCTCTTTTTCATACAGTAAGATATTATTAAAGGTCTACTAAGTGTCTGACCCTTATAGGCTATGGCACACAAAGATTAAGTGGACACAGTTCCTGTGCAAGAAGAGCTCATGATCCAGTAAAGAGAGAGGTGAGTGCAGAAAGGCTATCAGTCACATGAGGAAAGGCCCAAAGGAGGCAGCAGGTGATTCTGCTGGGGCTATGGATGACAGTGGTGGCAGGAAGGGGCAGTTGTCCAGCTCTACTATGGAGGAGTTGAGACTTAATCAGGCAGGGGGAACAGCCCCAGCGAGTGCACAGAGGTCCAAAGGAGGATGGTACGTTTTAAAGCAAAAGAGGTGATTTCCTAGAAATGTGGGGCCTTGTGTGCAAGGGGAAGGCAAGAGAAGCACACTGAGGGTGCCTAGAATTGCAGATGGCTTTGGGCATCTCACCTTTCCCACAGGCGACACTGTCACTCAGAATTTTATTGAATTTACTCAAGTTTTACTCTACTCAAGAGAGTAAGTGAACAGATGAGTAATTTACAAAATAGGTGCAACCTGGGGGCAGATGAACAGTTACTGACAACTAAGAGTCCTGGGTAGAGGGAGAGCATAAGAGAGCTGCTAAGGAGACAGCACCTACAGCACTGGTGTGTGGCAGGTAAAGGCAAGGAGTCAGGTTTGTGCTGTCAGCGAGTGGCTGGATGGTGGTGCCACTAGCCAAGAGTGGGGCCCAGGAGGAGGACCCTGGGTGGGGCTGGGGCTGGGGTCTGGAAAAAGATGGTTTTGGTCTGGGCTTAGGGGCCCTGTAAATGGAGCTGACACTGGGCAGAAATCTATCTGGGAGTCAGCAAAAAGAGGATGCCTGGAGTGCCAGGAGTGGGGGAGCTCTTCCATACAAGGTGCAAGAGTCACCAGCCAGGATAAGGCCACCACAAGGCCAGGCAGGAGGGGAGGCTAAGAGTGATTAATTAGACTGCTGGGAGGGCCAGGCAAGAGCAGTGTCACAAAATCAAGGGAAGAGAGAGGTCAGTGATGTCAAATGCTATAGAAAGGTCATATGAAATCCATTCATTCATTCAATAACTGTTTACTAATTATTGACTATGTGCCAGGCATTAGGGGAACAAGATAAATAGAAAAGAGAAAGTCTCAGCCCACAAGAAGATTAGGACTGAAGAGTCTGTTGAATCTGGCAAATCTGGCCAACTCTGGGTTTTGCTTATTTGTTTACTACCCATTTTCCCTCCCTGATGTGAGCTACACAAGGCAGGGTGTTGCTGGTTTTGTCCACTGCACTATTCTACACACCTAGAATGGTTCCTGGCATACTGTTAGTGCTCAAACAATATTTCTTAAATGAATGAACAAACAGGATGCCCTTGGTGACCTCTTCTGGAGCTGCTTCAGCAGAAAGAAGAGGTAGGAGACCAGTTCAGAGGGTTTAGGGAGCGAGTGGAAGGTAGAGAAGCAGACATGGAGATGACAGCCCACCCTGCTGAGGAGCTTTGTAGTGAAAGGAAGAGGAATACTGCGGTAGCTAGATAAGAACACAAAATCCAGAAAAAGCTTTTAATTTCTTTAAAGATAAAGAAATATCTGAGCACATTTTCTGGCCCATAGGGAAGCAATCAATAGAAAAAAGGTTGAAATTATGTGAAGGTAGAGGAGAAAAAACAGAGAAAGGTCTCTGAAAGGAGTGGATGAAATTAAGAACTCAAAAGGAGGAGAGATGAGCTTTGAGTAGAACATGAGATATACTCATTCAGAACAGGAAAAGAGCTTTTGTAATTCTAAAATAGCTTTTTGTTTTGCAGGACTCATTGCAAGGGTCTGGACCCTTCCCCAAAAAGAACTGTCCGTTTTCTCCTTTGCTCCCACTCCAGAGACAAATCCATAGCACCACAACACTCTGCTGCATTTAGCACAGTGCTCAAGAGTGGGGCTCTGAAGCCAGACTGCATGAGCTCAAATCCCAGCTCAGCCACTTGTAGCTGTGTGGCCTTGGTAGGCTAACACACATAAAATGCCCAGAACAGTAACCAGTACAGTGTAAATTCTCATTAAGCTATTATGATCATGGTAATTATGTACTTTTTGTGTGTGGAGGTCTTTGCCAACTAGATGTGACTCTTTGCAGATGAGGCTGTGGCTTATTTCAGCACTATATCCCTGGCACAAGAAGAAGCATGTGGCTGGCATGCAGCAGGATGTAACAAACCGTGTGTTGAATGTAAAACTCAGGAATCCAGTTCTCCTACATCATCCCCTCTTCCCCCTACACCTCCTGCACTTAATTAACCCAACTCACCTTGGCTCGGTTAGATATCTCTTCTAGTTGGGTTTTTATATCACAGTGTGGCACATCTCACTAAGTTTCATATTTTATTATATTTTAGAGCTCAGAGGAAATTTTGAGATTAACAAGTCTCTTTCATTGTATAAATGAAAAAATTGAGGCCAATGGAGTTTAAATGCTTTATCCACATAAGATAACACACAATGCAACCAGTGCTAGAATCTGGCTGTCTTCCAGTATATTGGTGACACCATGCAGTGGCCAGTGTGTTTTATTTTTTTAAAACACAAATCTGACCATGTCACTCACCTCCTACAGAACGAATTCGCAACTCTTCCACAACCCAGTCCCAGCAAGGTGCACTGATCCTCCAAAACTCAGGCACTTTTATGCTATGTGTGCTTCATCTTGCTGTTCTTTCCATCTGAAACCCCTGCCTATTTGGTCTATATTTCAAACCTGAGTTAGAAGGTCTACGTAATTCCACAGCCCAGTTTTATCTTTTATGCCATGCTGTTTGCATGACAAGTAATAGTACTCAAAATTGCTATTTCTAGTTCTCTAACCCACCGAGACCTAACTTCCAATTTCTCCCATTCCTTCTCTTTTTGTAACCTTTCTGTTTTACCGAGGCACAACCAGTACGTACGTTATGGGCACATCTTTGTACTGTGGTTGCTGTGGCACATTGCTTCCTTCCAAAGGAATCTGAGTCACTGTGGGCATGGACTTATTTACAAGCACTTGTTTGTTTTCTACTTTCTCACCTAAGAAAAATAGAAGTGCGTTAGACATATCATTATCATCCGTGTGGAATGTAAAGATTACTGGGGCATAAAAAAATGTGGGGTTAGACTAGGTCCATGAAATCCAGACGTGGAACAAAAAAATGAGCCCATACAGTGGGAACTAGAATTTAACAAGGCTCAGATGCAATTTTGCAAGCAATTTTTAAAAATCACAGATTGTTTGAAATTAAGAAATTGATTTAGGGGACCACATTAATGAGAGATATGTCATCTCAGTAAACAGCAATTTTATATATCTCTTAGGGTATTAGAACATGTTTGGACCACTTATTTTTACTTACAGTTATTTCAACCAGTAATATGTCACTGCCAACTTAACTTGGGCAATGAGGAAATAAAAATATTTCTTTGGTTTTGCTGCTGTTCCCTTTTTGCTCTTCATCTCTTCATGGTAAGCTCAAAGTCCAACTACTTGTAGTACTATTACAACACTTATTTTCCAAGCCACACTGACCAGCATAAAGAGCGAAAGAAATTCTCCAAGAAACAAAGGCAGAGAGGAGGAGGGGAAGCCATGCACTGAGCCTTGATACAGCGTTTGCCACCCACGGACCACTCACAGGATCACACGGCTTTCCCTCCTAATGACCTCCCCAATTCAGCTCTCCACCTTCACCATAGCTCCTGGTATGTGGTCTGCAGAGGGAGCTCTCAGCTGTTCCCCCCTCTATTTTGGTGCCCTTTTAATCCTTTCCCCACAGAGTATTCAGAATGATCATTTCAAAAGGCATACCTGATCATATTAGTGCTTTTAGGATCATAATGAAAACAGTAACACGGTTGCAAGGCCTTGCTTAGTCTGGCCCTGACCCGCCCTCCCTCGCTCTCTGTCTCTCGTCTCACGTTCCCCACGCTTCCCTGCACTCTCTTCCCTACGCTCCCACTCTCTTCATCCTAGCCACACTGGCCTTCCTTCAGATCCTTCAACTACCAGGCTCTAGGACACCTGCACAAGCTCTGCTCTCAGCTTTGAACATATTCTGTGCCCTTCATCCTTAGTTAACTCCTACCTCTCCCTCAGGTTTCAGCTCACTTCTTTGGGGAAGACTATGCTGATCTTCCTAACTAGGGCAAATTCCCTTGCTATAAAATGGCCTCATGGCTACCTATATGATTCCTTAACTTGGTTGTAATCTGACACATTTGTGTATGATCTTTTGATTAATGCCAGTGTCCCAAATTAGCCTGTAAGACCCATAAGGGTAGGGGCTGTAAATTGCATCAACAAAATTCATTCCAAGTTTTTAATTTTAATGGAGTCACACCTTTTCGGGGAAGAAGATCATAAAGTCAGTTTGTGAACTAAATGTACAAATGAAGAAAAACCAGTGTAGATACAAAGACACAACTCTATTCTAGATATTTCCTTAAAGTGGCTTTTCTGTGATTCAAGATTATAAGTAGAAAATTATAATTAAAATAGATTACTACTATGTAAAAACAAAACGTAAAAACAGACTGGAAGGTCTATTCTAGATATTTCCTTAAAGTGGCTTTTCTGTGATTCAAGATTATAAGTAGAAAATTACAATTAAAATAGATTACTACTATGTAAAAACAAAACGTAAAAACAGACTGGAAGAAAATTCATCAAAAATGATCCACTGTTTGAGTTTGGATATTAGTATTACAGGTTATTTTTTTCTGCCCGGTTTACCAAATATTCAAAAATATTACTGAATAATTTCATAATTTCAAAAACATTAAAAAAAATTTTTTTAAAGCTTTTACCTGGAGAACAAATACCATCTGCATCTAGAATTTCATGTCGCCAGATGGGTTTCCTTGTAGTAGCATCCAACATAGGTCCCATCACTTTATCAAAAGTCTGATTGGTGTATCGTTTCAATGTACATTTAGCATTTTTATATACAAGGCAACGCCCAAAGCCTAAAATGAAACCAAAATGGGCATGAGAACCACTAGTAATATGAAACTATGAGAAAACATGAATGTTTGCTATTCAATAACCTATCTCACCTCACCCTCCCAAAAAACCCAAAACTCCTCTACGTTTGGATAATCTGGGACTGGCACAAACCAAATAGCAATCTGATAATCTGAAGAAATGGCTCAGGACTCCTCCCCTCCCTACTGTCCATATAAACAACACTGGAATCTTTTTTGGCATGGATACATCTTGTCATGTTGGAGGAAGGTGAGAGAAATATAAGAGTGACTCTGTGATTCTTTCAGATAACACAGCCACATAATATTAGAATTGGAAAGACATCACCTGGCTTAACCCCTCTGTTTTACAGGCACCATGAGGGAGATCCAGAGAAATTAAGTGGCCAAGGTCACCTAGCAAGTTGATAGCAGAGTTGAGAACAGACCAAGTCCACTGACTCCTGAGCAAGGATTCTTGGTAGACATCTTTTTGGTATGTAACTTCTGCTAATCTTCCCTAGAAAGTTTTCCTTTTTCTGATTTTGACATTTAGAGGATGTCCCAAACAAACAAAAAAATTAAATTTTCTCCAGAGGACAGAATGAAAAGAAGAAACAACCAAATGGTTTTAATGGGAGAGATAGTTTGCTTCTGTCCTAAAGACTAGAGTTTAATTACATGTTTAGATTGTATTTATCTAGTGGATGAGGGAAGAGCCCTGAGACTAATTAACAATCTGAACATTAAGAAAAATAAGCAAAATCGAGAAAAGAAAAACCTTTGGATGAGGCAAAAAACTCAACCACTGAATCCCTCAAAAAAAATTTCATCTGCTGGGTGCAATGGTGCCCAGCTACTGTATTCCCAGCTACCCAGGAGGATGAAGCAGAAGGATCGCTTGAGCTTAGGAGCTATAGTGCACTATGCCAATTAGGTGTCTGCACTAAGTCTGGCATCAATATAGTGACCTCCTGGGAACAGAGACCACAGGGTTGACTAAGGAGGGGTGAACTGGCCTGGGTCGGAAACAGAGCAGGTCAAAACTCCCATGCTCATCAGTAGTAGGACTGCGCCTGTCAATAGCCACTCCTGCCTGGGCAACATAACCAGACACCGTCTCTTTAAAAACAAAAAAAAATTTCATACGTTGTAGTTACCCAAAAGAGCTCTCACTCCTTCAACACTAAATATCATTTCCTAAGATTCTGTGGCTGCATTTTTCTTTCTTTCTTCCCTTTGGCCAAGCAGTTATTTCAAACTATATTCTCTAACTCCTCAGGATATACTAAGCCATGTCAGAGTTCACTTAAATAGGAAAATGTCTCAGGATTAAATGCCAGCTATCACCAATGAAATAAATGCATGGCTGAAAAATCCTTCCCTTACGATTCTCCACTAAAAGCAGAACTCCTTTAAGAAATCTAAGAATGTGAGTTTAGAAAAATCAATCAGGTAAAAGTGGATTTCTAAATAAAACTCAGTGCTCTAATGTGTTTTTAAATATGAAGGTGATAATGTGATGAAATAAATCTCTACAACTGGATGGTAGATGAAGACGTTTCTATATTGTAAGCAAGGTCTCAGTCATCATGGCTCCTAGTAAACTGTGTATGGCCATAATAAACTCCGCTCAGAGAGCCAGCTGGTTTGGAAACATTATGTGATCTTGAAATTTCATATAATAGCCATTAACTGCAACGTGTTGAAGTGCAGCGTGAATCCAGCTGGTTTGGAAACATTATGTGATCTTGAAATTTCATATAATAGCCATTAACTGCAACGTGTTGAAGTGCAGCGTGAATCCGAAGTGCAGCGTGAATCCGAACTGCATGAACTCAAGAAGTGTTTTCTTCTACATGTAAACGGACATTTTATTTACAGGTGGTAGCTTGAAAGCTAGGGGACAGTAAACCCAGATCATTAAATTGTGTTGCAGACTTTCTGACAGATATCACAAAGTCTTCAGATTTCCACATAAATGTTACCAGTTAATCAGAAAAGAAAACATCTAGTTTTAAAGCATGGCTGTTGTCATTTGGAGGAAAAAAGAGGCATAAATTAAGTGCAGCCAACATTAATGCCAAAGACACATGTCTAGGAGTACTATTACGGCTGCCTAGCAACTACAACGAGGGAAGGCATAGCGGGTATGCCAGAGGAAACAGAGAAACAGAGATTATGAATACAGAAGTCACACTTCAGCTCAGGTGATGGCTAACAAGCCAGGAAGTGGTGACTTGCAAAAGTAAACTGTCAAAAAAAATGAGAAAGAAAAGCACAGAAACTACAAGCCAGGTTTTTGCATGTGTGTATTTTTAACTTTTGTTAATTGGCCAAAAAAAAAAAAAAAAAGGTGTAACAGATTATGCAGTCAAGATGTACAAGAAAAAAGCTTTTACATCCACATATTACTGCTGACCTCTCAAACAGGTTTGTTGTTGAATATATCAATAGACGCATTCAAAAAAACTTATTTCATTTATGGTCATTCTTCCTGGAAAATAAGCAAATTCTTACATTTTTTCTCTTTGAGGAATTGTCTCAACTCATCAATAAAATAACAAAGAAGAAATATTCTGTAGTAGTATATTTAACAAATTATCTCAATATAATATTCATTAAAAAGCCAACACCAAAACACAACAACCTACAGTCTGTATATTATAAAATTCAAATCACTTTAAACTGACATTAACATTTTGACAAGTGATTTTTACATTAATCACCCTTATCTCTAATTCTGCAAAAAGCACCTTTGGTGTTAGAGCTTTGAAAATTCACTTACCTCTGTCCAAGGAGGCCTTGTTTAAAACAAGAGCATCTTCAATATCATAGCCACTATAACTCATCACAGCAACTGTCGCATTCTGTCCAGCTGGCAATTTCTCAAATTCTATCAACTCAATGGTTTTTGTTTTAACCATGGGTTTTTGTGGATAAGCTAATAGATACATAAGAGTGTCAATTCTGTTTCGCTGGTTATATCCAATGGTACCTTCATTGATATTAGAGAAAACAAAATGCAACACTCATAATTAGGTAGCAATGAATATAGAGATAAGCACATTAACTTCGCTAATTAAAATGAAGAAAACCTTCAGGTCTAACATTTCAAAAGCAATACCCTCATGGTGGTTAAGAACTTTTAAAAGCATTTTTTTTTCACTAATATTTAAAATCCTACTAAGAAGAAAAATTACACTCAGGGTATACTAATCTAAACAATTTTGATTTTTGGGATTTATATACTTGAGCCCATTTGAGGGATTTTAGTTTCCACTGGTTAATTTCACAAGTCAACAATTCTGTATTTGATTCTACTATGTTCCAGGCACAATTCCAGCTGGTGGGGAAAAATTATGGGAAAACAACGCCCTGTGTTCACAGGCAATGAGTTTATACAGGGGACAAATAGATATATTTCATAAAAAGAAATCAACAATCACAAAAGTTCTAAATGAGAAAGAAAGCAGGAGAGAAGGCAAGGAACAAAATAAAGAAAGAAATTCAAATGAAAGCAGGGAAGAGTGGATTTATTCATTAGTTTAACTGTTCATTTATCAAGCAGTTAATAAATATCTACTCTGTGCCAAACACTGGAGATAACGTGGAGAAAGGCGTTGTCCCCTCCCCTAAAGAATCTAGGGTAAAGTCCATTCAGGGGTAGGCTCTTCCCTCCTTGGCAATCAGCCTTTCCACCTGATTGGTCTTTGGAAGGGTATTATTGGGTCACTGTTAGCTGCAAATTAAATCAGAATGTTAATCTTTCTCTCTTTTCCCCTCAGAAACACATAGGGATTCATGGATCTGCCTGAAGAACCCTGGGCTTGTGGATACACAGCTGATGATACTCATGGACCTTAAAATTGGAAAACTCAGGCTTGCCTGAGTCGAGCTTGAGTGTGGGCTACTGAGCCTCTTTAACTTCTTCTAGGTATGCATTTTTTCCCCCATGAATGGTTGAGAAGAACAGATGTTAATATTAAAAGAAGGTAGCGTTAAGTCTCTCTTGTGCATGCTTCCATAGTGACACATACACAACACCCACACACTCCAAGGTACCTATGTGTCATTTCATGGAGTTATGCCCAAGGGGAAGCAGACACCAAAACTCAATAATTATTTCCTTTTACTTTTTTCCCATAATCCTGTCATTAAAGCAATGGTGATTTCAATTCAGGAATAAAATAAACTATTCAAGCAGCAGAAACGATATGGTACTCCTCAACAATTACTATTGAAAGAAATAATAAAATCTGTAGGGTGTACCAAGGAAATGGACCTAGGACAGTGCTGGGCTCATTATGGATGCTCAATAAATGTCAAGCGAATTAAATTGAAGAATCCCATTATACTTTTTTATGACAATATAATTTATATGTTTGTGCTTAAATCTTTAGGAAATTTATCAAGATTCAACTGAAAAACAATAATCAAACTGAACTTCATGAACTTTTTGTCAAGTGTACTCTATAAATTGCCAATTAATTTATGTTATTTTAGTGCCAACTAATAAACAAGGCAGGACACCTGGCAACAGATCACTTACTGTTTTAGAAATAGTAATACTGCTGCTGAGACTGTGGTAAAGTTCACTAACAATGAGTTTGTCCTTTTACATGAAATCGTTTAAAATTTATGTTGAGATTTCAGCCCCAGTTGTGTACTTTACCCAGCTTGAGGCAAGGGTTCAGGCAATGTCCCACCAGGCTGCCAAACATGTCTTCTGAAACCTGAGACAAGCATTATTATGCAGCAGGGAAGCACAAATAGAGATTTCAGCCCCAGTTGTGTACTTTACCCAGCTTGAGGCAAGGGTTCAGGCAATGTCCCATCAGGCTGCCAAACATGTCTTCTGAAACCTGAGACAAGCATTATTATGCAGCAGGGAAGCACAAATAGCTGCCCCCTGGACAATGGTGAAAGAAACTGATCCTGCTATAAATTGTGCTACCAGGCCAGAACATAATTCTTGGGCATTACAACTGACCACTGAATGGAAGAACAGCAAAATAGTTTAGCAAATGTTTGGTGCTTATGACCTCATTGGCAAATTTTTTTTTAAACACTTTTTAAATAATTTGTGGGCATATACATGCACATACATTTTTAGCAGCACTGACTATGGGTGTGTAAGTTAAAATATGATTTATAAACTGTAATTTCTGTATCATAAAACTTCAAAATGACATCAGACCCCCACAATTTTTATAAAAATTATGAATGACTAGCTATTTAGCCAATAAGCAAACTTTTTTGAGAAAGTGTCATACAGAAATTATATTGTAAGAAATTACTTGCCTGTGTCTAGCTCAGACTGGGATGCTCCTATTACTACTTTCGGCTTCCTTAAGAAAGGCATTACATATATGTGTGTGTGTTTGCATAAAATAACACAATGAGGGCCGGCCAGGTGGCGCACTGGATAGTGCGCCGCTTGGGAAGCGCGGCGGCGCTCCCGTCCGAGGGTTCGGATCCCACATACAGACCGGCTCCCGCTCACTGGCTGAGCGAGGCGCGGGAGCAACGCCGAGGGTTGCGATCCCGTTGCCGGTCCCTGGTCCGGTACGGGGGCAACACTGAGGGTTGCGATCCATTGCCGGACACGGAATAAAAAAGACAAAAGACAAAAAAAAAATAAAAAATAAAAAAATAACACAATGAGAATATCTGTAAGCTGTATTTTACTTCTGTCCCATTTTGCTGTAACTATGGTCTCCAATGATTTCCTTTTCCTAATACCCAGGACATATCTTTCTTACAAAGCCATATTTTCTTGACAATATCTTTCTTAAGAAGTCACAAGTTGGCATAGCAAGGTATACCAATATAGGTTAAAATAGTGAAGAACTGCTTCCTTTTAAGGTGAGATAGAAAAGGTTAGTAAGGATGTGAACAGCTTAGAAAAGGTATTCTGAAAAAAATTAAATGAAGTTTTATGAATTTTTTGGTCTTCCTTTGTCTAATTTCCTTTTCATTTAGCCAACATTATTGAATACAATAAACTTCATCCATTTCAAGTGTACAAATTGATAAGTTCTGACAGGTATATACACCTGTGAAACCATCTCCACAATCAAGATCCAGAATACTTCTAAAACCTCCAAAAGATCCCTCCCTCTGTCCCCGGCCCCAGGGAACCACTGATCTGTTTTTTATCATTATAGATTAGTTTGCATTTTCTAGAATTTTCTATAAATAGAATCACATAGTATCTGCTTATTTTATCTGGCATAATGATTCTGAGATTTAACCATATGGTTGTGTGTATGGCACTTCATTCTTTTTTATTGCTGAATAGGGTTCCATTGTATGAATTACACTGTTTATTCATTTCACCTATTAATGAATATTTGCTTTGTTTCCAGTTTTCAGCTACTGTGAATAAGGCTGCCATAAGCATTAGTGTACAAGTCTCTGTATGTTTTTATATCTTTTGAGTAAATACTCAAGAGTGGAATTTCTGGGTTGTTTGGTAGGTTAACTTCAAGAAACTGCTAAAGAATTTTCTAGAGTGATTATACCACCTGACATTCCCACCAGCAGTGAATGAGCATTTCAATTGGTCCATATCCTTACCAACACTTAGTATGCCAGTCTTTTTAATTTTAATAATCTAATGAACGTGCAGGAGTATTTCATAGTGATTTTAATTTGTATTTACCTGACAACTAGTAATGTTGAACATATTTTCATGTACTAATTGCTCAGTCCTATAACTTTGTGAAGTGCCTGGTTTTTCTCTCTGTTTTTCCTTTTAATTAGGTTGTTCATCTTATTATTGAAGAGTTCTTTATATATACTAGATACAAATCCTTTATCAGATATATAGTGCAAATACTTTTGCTGATTCTGTGGTTTGCATTTTCATATTCTTAACATTATCCTTCAAAGAGGAAGGTTTAATTTTGAGAAAGTACAATTTATTAATTTTGTGTTTTTATAGTTTGTATTTTCTGTGTCCTATCTAAAAAAATCTTAGCTTAACTCAAGTCATAAAGATTTTCACTTGTTTCCTCTTCAGGTTTTATGGATTTAGCTGTTATATTTAGGGCTATGATCCATTTGTGTTAATTTTTTATATGCTATGAGGTCGGAGTTGATGTTCAGTTTTTTCCATCCAGATATACACATATTTTATTTTGCTGGGAAGACTTTCCTTTCTCTATTGAATTGCTTCAACACATTCATTAAAAATCAATCACTCATAAATATGTGGGTCTATTTCTAGACTGCTGTTTCTGTTCCATTGACCTATATATGTCTAACCCTTCTGTCAATATCATACTGTCTTTACTACAGTAACTTTATAGTAAGTCAAAATCATGTTGTATAAGTCTTCCAACTTATCTTTGTTTCAAAATTCTTTTTAAAAATCTGCCCCTTATTTCTTAACAGTTTCAGTGTGCTCAGAGATTCATTCATTCATTTTTGAAACATTTATTAAGTACTTACTATACTATCTACTAAACTGGCACTATGCTAGGCACAAAGCATATAGTACAGGTTGAGCATCCCTAATCCAAAAATCCGAAATCAGAAGTGCTCTAAAATCTGAAACTTTTTGAGTGCCCACATGATGCCAAGTGGTGGGAAATTCCATACCTGACCTCATATGATGGGTTGCAATTAAAATGCAGTCAAAACTTTGTTTCTACACAAAATTATTTAAAATATTGTATAAAATTACTCTCAGTCTGTGTATAATTTCGTGTTAAAACTTGGGTCCCATCTCCAAGATATCTTCCTTAGGTATATGCAAACACTCCAAAATCTGAAACAATCTGAAATCCGAAATACTTCTGTTCCCAAACATTTCATACTAGGGATACTTGACCTGTAATAAATAACACAGTCCCTGTCTTTAAGGAGCTTATAATTTAAAGTCTAGCTGGGAAGGCAGCCTGATTGTGATTCACATTAGATAGGAGAAAGTGAGAAAAGAAGTTAGTTTGGGTTGAGAAGAATTATTGCAAGTTTTATAGATAACATTACACTTGTATAGAAGACATAATGTAACCTTTTATATTACTCAAACAAACTGGGATTCAGCATCTTTGTCAGAAAAAAAAGGTATATATTATACCTCGATGGGTTATTATTGTGACTAAAAGAAGACATGTAGGTAAAGCATTTGGGTACTCAATAAGTGGTAACATTCATTATGACCAATATTAACAATATTAGTAGTAATAATAAAAATATATATCCCATCACCCTGCAGTATCACCCATTCTACCTCCAGCTTTAACTTACATATGTAACTTTAGTTTAATTTTACCTCCACAAGTATTTATTGTCAACATTCTAGTCTTAGGAAACACCACATAAGCTTATACCTAAAATAGCTACATTGATTTAACATTTTTTTCTAACCAGCAGCAGAATTATAAAAAAGAATTGCCAGGGATAATTGAACAAGACTTTTTTTTCATTTGTACCCCAAATGAATAATGAATAAATATGCTAAAAAAATTCAAACAGAAAGTGGGGAAAATGAAATAAAATTTTATGAGAATCTTTGTATATTATGTCTTCCTAATCTCTCCGAATTCTCCAGCCTCTTTCCAGTACATCTCCTCCTACTGTAAAGTGGGGAAGTGGGCAATACAAAGGATGAAACTATTCGCTTAGGAATAGAATATGCTGCAAACAGAAACAGAAGCTGCATTAGCTCCTGAGTTAAGAAACCAAGTCCCACCAATTTGGAGTTGAAGAGGAAAGGGATGGTTAGAAGCTGCGGGTGGGGGCCAGGAAGGTCTGATGCATATTCATTAACTTAGTTGACAGTGACTGAAAGATCCTTTTAAACAGGAGAAAGTGTTCAACTAGAGGATTGCCAACTAATAAAATATGCAGGATATGAAAGTGTGACTCGTATGAACCTGGCATCGGCCACCAATAGGACACAGTTCACCCCAAGACACGGTCTGTGCTTGAAGTGCTGAGTGAGCTGGAGACCTTGCCATTTCCACATCTGCCTGACTTCTCGTTCTGAAGTACATCACAACACACACGGCCATATCCACTGAGGAGAGGTGTTTCTCAGCAGCACAGTAAGATGTTGGGAGGAAACTTGAACTTTAATAACGTAAAATGCCCAGGATTTAAGAAACACCCTCTGCTGGTGTTTTATTTTGGATTAGCTCTTTTACACCCAAGGTAAGGCTTTCAGTGTTTGTGCTAATCTTGGTCTCCTTCCTAGTGATAGAAAATGATTTTCATTTCTTCACTGTTAGGGGTGGGGAGGGAGAGGGGTTGGTAGGGAATGGTAGACAGCAAATTTTCCAGGTTGGCTAGGATATTTAGTGAATTAACTCTGGGCTACTATTTTCTACTTTCTACACAAACTAAAAGACAGATAAATAATAACTATTATTTTAGAAAATTCATTTGGCTAGGATATTTAGTGAATTAACTCTGGGCTACTATTTTCTACTTTCTACACAAACTAACTAAAAGACAGATAAATAATAACTATTATTTTAGAAAATTCACATAGAATATGAAAGTTGAATAGTCTTCAGCAATGGCTCGTATTTAAAATGGGATAGAATGTGACTTTTAGTTATCAGCTGTCAAAACTGCCTAGAATTAAAATGATCCAGAGACGTCCTACTCAAAGTGCTAAGTCTGCACTTACTGACCTGGGTATCTGCTGTGGATTTTCTCCCTCTGCTGACCTTTTTCCTTTTGTGATTTTTCATATAGACCTCGCTCAATACTTCTGTAGCAACTTCAATGTCCAAAGAGAAATGTTGCCATGTTATGTGCCAACTTTAAATTTACTTTTATCTACGGCTTTTCTTTCCAGTCAGGTGTTTAATAACAAATAGTAACAAAGGCTTTTTTTATTACTTAAGATATTCAGTGGCTTTTGTCTTCCTCGCGTCAGCAGTAACGTCAGAGGATTGTATCCAAGGAGCTAAATGTGCAGGACCCAGGGTCAGAGCAGCTGAATACACCAACCTCAGAAAACACAGACAATGAATTGCAAATGACACTCAAAACAAAACGAGGAAAAAAACCTTCACACAGAAAACTACAAAAGAACTCTACAGACACTGAATTGGTTTTCTGTACACACTGATCCTGCTTAACTGTGTGTGGTAACTAACCGAACATTTCAGATACTCATGGCCACAAAATAAAGCCTTTTTTTTTTTTCTTTTGTGGGGAGGGGAGTTATAAAAATAAAAATATTATTTCTTTCCTTCAAGTCTATTCTTCATTTAATAAAAAAAGAAAAAGCTTTATTAAGTAGAGACAGATGCAGCTCTTTCTGTTTCAATCTTCAAACACACTAAAGAGTGGCATTAGCGATCGAGTGATTAGTCTTCTGTTAATTCTGCTGAAGGTTCTACACAAAAGGTGTATTGTTTCAGTTGGGATTCACATCATGAAACAAAATGGTTTGGTAAACCCAATAGAAGTGATAGCCCTTTCATGACACACAGGGTTCAGTACTGTATATTTTCAACTTGTTAGCAAGTCAGAAGCATAAGTGGGAAATCAGCCTACACTGCTGCTGAGGATGAATGGGAAAGGCTAAACTGATGAGCTGCTGTTTAGATTTTCCCACTGGGAATTATTCTGAACTGTCCAGGCATTATATCATTCAGGTAAATGATAGCAGAACAACATGATTTTTATTCCTTCATGGCTAACCAAAGGGCAGTATAAAAATTTATATACTCTCCATCCATAATGAAGAAATAGGATTCTTTAATTGTCAAGCTATGGTCAGTTGCAGCTGATTGCTGGAAACTGAGAAGCTAACAACATTTTGGTTGTTACCTAAAGGTGATGCAAACACTTTTCCCTGTACATTTTTATGGTTTCTTTATGAAGTTCCTTCTATTGTACTTTAAATCAGACATGACAAGTCATACTGATGTCATAGACAAATATGAAAATAATATTTATTAAATTTATTAGGATTTAAGGGATTTTTTAAAAAATTGCAAAAAGGCTTACAAGCAAAACTTTTTTTGGGTGGGTGTGCTGGTATCCTCTCTGTACCACCCTCAGTTAAAAGTCAAAATACCTCTCCAGCATACCTCTCTAACCACACTATACAAGACAGCCATACCAAAGTACTGAGACTTTCCCATACAATGCTTGCTCATACTTCCAGACCTTTAAAAAATACTTGGTGTATTCCAAGACTCAGTTCAGTTCTATCCTTCACAAACAACCCGCTCTCTACCTTTAATTGACCTTCCTCCTCTAATTTCCTTAGATCTTGGCTTTTGGTCTCTTACGGAACTCATCACACTAGACTGAATTACAGTTTTATTTGTTGGTCTCTCCTACTAGACTGTGAACTCACTGGGCACAGGGCTCCGTCTCATCTCTATATTTTCAAGCTCCGGCCATGTCTGGCCTGTAGTTATACTCAGTAAATGTTATGGATGGATGGATAGATAAATTAATAGATGCATAGATGAAGGGAAGAAAAATAAGAGAGAAGGAAAATGAACTCAGAAATTGGTGTGACATGAATTGGATAAGTTTTAGTGGCAACTGCAAGGACATAAGGGGTTCAATGATGTCATCCAGGCAATTACTAGGTACATTCTAATACACACTGTACATTTTATCTCTATTTTTTTCCCTCCCCACTTAACCTTGAGTTTTTCTGCTCTTTCTTACATTTCTCCTAGTTAATGACTTACATTTTATAGGGCTTTTCTCTTTATATTTACTCTTTCATAATTCCGTGACATTTATTATGTGTTGCTTATTATAGGTCAAGGAAACCAGTTCAGAGAGGTTCTCTCCATTTCTATTTAAGCTTTAGACATGACAGGGCCCTGGCAAGCACTGTAGAGTTCCACTGGCAACCCCCTGAGTTTGGTAATCCTCAGGTGTTACCAACGCCTGATTTGTCCAAACACAGAATACTAGTGAAGTAAGAATAAAGACATAAGGTTTTTTTCCCCCCGAGTATTTAGAACCATGTTTAAGAAGAAAATCTTACCCATAGCTTGTTTCCCCATGGCACACTGATATGTGTTTCTCGGGGACTGGTTGTGGTGAGGGTACGGGATCAGGCCAGCACAAACGCCAAGAAGGGTGAAGGGTTCAATCTCCAAGTGGGTTGTATCCCTATCAAGTTAATGAAGAATGAGACATCTTAAAAATTAAATACTAAAATAAATGTCTATAAAGGGTATAAAAATATTATTATCTAGGTCCCCAAGGCATTTTAAGACAATAAAATTTGATACTAGAAAAACAGATAAAATAAAAGATACTTAAACAAAATATAATAAAACAAGAACTTAGAATTTCTTTAGTGACAAGTTTTTATTAGTGATAGAAATATGAGAAGGGAGACAGATGGAATGCCTATATAAAAAACAAACCATTACTATAATACATACTAATTAATAATAACTAACACATAAAGGAATTACTATACTGAACACAATGGAATATTGTGTCAACATTATCAACATGGACAAGTAGCCTGCTTTTCTTCATTCTTTCAACTTACATCAATTGGAAAGTTTTATCAACATTTTACGGAGCAGAATATATTCCCTTTAAGAATCATTACTATAGATCTATAGGAACGAATACCATAGCCATGCGCTAATTGTGGCTACTGAGCACTTGAAATGTTAGGCTAGTGTGTGTCACTGAGGTACTGAATTTTTTACTTAATTTTAATAACTTTAAATTTTAAAACTTAAATTTAAAAAACCCATTTCAGTTATTTAAAATCTTTTAATTATACTGGGAACAACTTACATTTGTATATCTACTTTTTCAACTGTAAAGGTTATGAAATCAGATCAATTATTTCTGATGAAAATTTAGCCTCCAAATTAAGATGTGCTGTAAGTGCATACCAGACTCTGAAGACTTGTAGTTGGGTAAAAAAAAGTGTAAAATATTTCAGTATTTTAATATTGATTATATGTTGACATGACAATATTTTGGATATATTAGGTAAAAGAAAAATATTATTAAAACTAATGTCACTTTAAAAAAAAAATTTTTTTTACTAGCATGACAATATTTTGGATATATTAGGTAAAAGAAAAATATTATTAAAACTAATGTCACTTTATTATTATTTTTTTTATTTTATTTTTATTTTATTTTAGAAAATTTAAAGTTATATAAGTGGCTTGCATTATATTTTTATCAGACAGCTCTGCTACAGATATTGAACACAATATAATATTTCATCTAGCAGATGTCAGAATACTGGTTGCTTTCACAATATCTCTCTGCAGAAAACTCAGTTTTTGGCTAAATGAGAAAGAAACTCAGATATTTCAATGGGAAAGAGCAGCCAGATCATTTTCAGGTTTTGCTGAAAGTAACATATCACATCCAGGATCTGTCATCTCTGCTGGCCCTCTATTTCTTCAAGTGTTTCTGAAGTGTACCCTTTTACAGTACCTGTTGAGAGAAGTGATTTCCACGATAACCAGGTCCCAATCAAACATGGAAATTTAGCTGCAATATATCAGATAAAAAATCTCCCACTTATCCAGTTATCCATCTATTTTTTTCTTCAATGCACATGTATTGAATTATGTCCCTGGTTTGGTGAAAGAGGGTGCTTTCCATGTAGCTCTTGGCTTGAAGAATATTGTTTTGACCTTATGACGAAGCAGCATCCCAATCCTCTCAAACACTTTAGGCCTCTGTCAGCAGTGACAGAAAGGGCACTATTTTTTTTTTTTTTTAAAGAACATTAAAGCTACATTTTATAGGCTAGAATAATGTTTTTTTTTCCTTTTTGTCTTTTTATGTGACCGGTAACAGGATCGCAACCCTCGGTGTTGCGCCCGCACCGCACTCAACCAGTGAGCGGACCGGTCTCTATATGGGATCCGAGCGCTGCCACGCTCCCAAGCGCTGCACTCTACCGAGTGCGCCACCGGGCTGCACAAGACGGTGACACTTGGGTGAAGAGCTGGAGGAGGTGAAGCAGAGAGCCATGCAGGTAGGTGGGAGTGTTCCAGGCAAAGGAAACAGCCAGTGCAAAGGTGCTGAGGCAGAAGCATGCCTGGAGTGTGTGAAGAAGAGGCTAGTGCAGTTGAAACAGTGAGTGAAGAAAGGCAGGAGATGATGGTGCAGGGGTGAAGCGAGGGTGGACAGATCCTGCAGAAACCTGAAGGCCTCTGGAAGGACTTCTGAGGGAGATGGAAAGCCACGGGGGGATTTCAGAAGAGAACTGATCTGAGTACTCTGCTGTGGTAGGGGGAGACTAGATGGGGACATGTGCAAAAATAGTCAGGAGCCTGTTGCAAGGATCTAGGCAAGTACAGGAGTGGCCTGGACTAGTGTGGTAGATGGAGGTGGTGGAAAGAAATCAGATTCTGGGTGTATTCCAAAGGCTCACATGACAGGCTAAGGGACTGATGTAGACGTAAGGAAGAGGAGTCAAGGTTAAAACTGAGGTTTTTGGCTTGGGCATGAAGCCAAATGATACTGATGACATGTCATAAAATGATACAAAATGAAATGATGAAGGATGGAACTGTTCATTTATGGGGTTACTATAAAAAGTTCTCTTTTATACTCAATCTTGAAATGAGGGATATAAAATAGTAATTTGAGAGATTCACATCTTTAATGAATAAAAAATTTGGACTAAAAAGCATTATTTACTAAATTATTACAAAAATAAAATGGTATATTTCATCTGGTAGCAGAAAACAGAAAAGTACTTGTTCTTGAAGACATAAATAGTATAAGGTGGTAGTATTAAACTCCCTAACATTAAACAATATAACTGCAAGAATTCCAATTTCAGGTAATCAACACATCAGTCACATACATCAAACAGCAAGTTATACAAATGTCCTTAAATAAATTCCAAATGGAACACAGATGCTTCTAAAAATATCATTTTCTAGGGTTAGGGTAACCAAGTTTACACTGCACATAAACTTAAAGATATTTTTACAACATACTACATAGAGAATTCCTGCACTGACAATAAGAATTCAGATGTCCATTGACAAAATCCTCTCTAGAAGAGATACATACATCTTTACATCGCTTGAATCATTAGTTAGATTTTGGAAGCAATCAAATATTAAAATCAGAAAAGCAATTCCTTTGAAAAATATAAACTAAGTTTCACATGAATAGGAAGGACAATTAAACCTAAGGATGACTTGTTAGCAGCTTTGATACTCTTATATGGGATAAATGATGGGTTATGCTTCACTATAAAATAGTAAAAATAGTATACTTCTAACAGTTCCTACCAGGAGTACATGACACAAGAACTGAAGATAACAATGAAAAGAGAAGGTAATTTCTATAGTCAGGATAGGTTTGAATTATGGTTGTTATAGATCCTACTTACTTATTAATTGTATGTTCATAGAGAGCAATGTTACAATCATTTTCTTCATTCACATCTAAATACTCAACCAGACTCTCATGTAAGAAATCTTCAAAATTCCTGAGAAAATAATGGTTGAAGAGACATTATTAAAAAGCATTTTACTGCAGTGTTTTACATAACAGAAGATACTAGCTTTCATTTGGGCCCAATGCACATTTCTCTCCCAGTATCAATACATTATAATACCTGGAACATGCTATTCTTAGATCACAAACCACTGAAATAAAACCAGTAAAGTGTCTGTGATTCTTGTCAATCTGGTCCCCACTTATAAAAAGAACCTGACTTTTGGGCCGGCCTGCGGCTCACTCGGTAGAGTGCGGTGCTGATAACACCAAGGCCACGGGTTCGGATCCCATATAGGGATGGCCGGTTCGCTCACTGGGTGAGCGTGGTGCTGACAACACCAAGTAGAGGGTTAAGATCCCCTTACCGGTCATCTTTTGAAAAAAAAAAAAAAAAAAAAGAACCTGACTTTAGAAACGCCACATGATAAGAGACCCACAAAATGCACACCAACAGTTGCTGTAAATCCTTTTCTCACTAGAAACACTTAATGGTGCATTAATTTACATCGAGACTCTGTAACTCTCATGATCTAGACTGATAAATATTTTACAGTGTCTAAGCAAGTTCACATGAAAAAGAATATGTTTTTTAACAGACTGGCATATTTGGTGGGGAAAAATTAAAGAGATTAAAAATGAAAATACACTTTTGTTAAAAGCCCAGATCAAATAATATTATTGCTGATTAAATCATGCACATACATATTAAGGAGACAGATAAGTTTTACTTTGGCCATTTACCTGTACCCCTGAGCCAGCTCTTCCATATGTTTATTTGTGACTGCTGGCTTCTGTTTCTTAACAATTATGTAGGGCCTAGAATGGAAAAAAAACAACAAATTAACAGTAGTTCCATGAAAGAATTACATCTGCAAGTTAGTTTACCACAGTGAAATGAGGAAAGCTGTAGATACTATTAAACTTATTCCTGATTGCTTGAGGACACCAGGTTTTTTGCATGTGTGAACATGTTGGGGCCTATCTTCTCTCTCCCTACACACACACACACACCACACACACACACACACACACACGCCCATGTGCATGTGAATATGTACACACATATACACACAGTATTTCCTCCAATTATCTTAGGAAACATTAGTTTTGAATGAAAAGGAAACACCAAAATGATACTCAACAAAGTCTAAAAAGGAAGCAAAACCTTTAATATTATATTTTTTAAAGTTACGTAAATACATCATTCCAAGAACATCTCCTGATTTCACACTGGGAATATGTGGTATACTACATATGGAGTCAGCAGGCAAAGAAGCGTTGTCACTAAGGATAATAATGGCATTTTGTTATGAGGGTCTGATGAATATATAGATGTTTACAGTAGACTGATTTCAGATAAACATCACTGAGCTAGACTTGTAGGTTACTCAAAGCTACACATGACAGAGAAGAATGGCTACAAGTCTGCAGAGAATAACGCTTTCTTCTTGGTGATTTTTGGTGATATGGATGTAAGGTAGAGCGAGCATTATGATAGATTAACCTATAACTGTCAGTGGTGACTTGCCTCAGAAGGCTTCGCCACCACGAGGAAACACTGACACAAAGGATGGCATGTGGCACTGAAACGTCAAGGGCTGTTGCTATTTGGATAAGCAGCTCTTACAGAGAGGAGCAAGTAACCACTGGACACTTGTGCGCTCTGCCCTAAAGTCCAAATAACTATTTGAGAGCCAACAAGTACTTTTAAACAGTTAAGAGGAGAAGCTGCACAATTACAAAAGGGGAACACAAGTTGCTGAAAAATGAATTGGGTGAGCTTTTCATGGAAATCAACAGTACCTCGAGATTCTTGCTCCTTCATGGAAGGGAAGCAGAGACCACTGCTGCCTCATGCGAGGGCTACAGTGCAGTTCAGGACAAGACTCAGAAGTGACAGAAGCAGGAGTAGGAAAGGGAGGGGATCACGTTTAGCAACCTCAGTCACCCTT